ATGGCACACACACTTGAGCAGCTGAAGATCTGGGTTTTGCTGGAGCATGTGTGTGGACACAGAATTTTTTTTCCCCACCATAACACTGCAGCCATCTGTGCCTAATCCATTGCATTTTTTGATATCCAGTCCAATGCTCTGTAGAAAACTGGTCAGGGTAGAGGCAATAGCCTCAGCTGTTTCACCATCCAAGGTAACCAGTCCCAAAAAGGTCGGCACAGTCTTATTTAGTTTAACACTGAAGTAGCGGATCACCAAACACAGCTGCTTGACAGATGTGATATCTGTGCTTTCATCAATTACAAGAGAATACTGAGCATCTCCAATATCACTCATAAGGTATTTGAACATGCAAGGGGCTATTGCATGATTTATTAATGCAGTGCATTTTGTTCGGTGTAATTTGATCTCACCGTCAGTCAAAGCGGATCCAATGAGTTCTCCAAGATGGTCCACAGCACTGATTGATGTGTGACAGGCTATGTAGGTGGCTATTTTTAGTTCATTTCTTTGTTTTGTTTCACTGTGTTTTGGGGCAGTGAAACCCATGTTTGTGAGCCTCGTGGAGGAGAAGGGTGCACAGTTTTTTTTGTGCTTCTCAGTATTGGCATGCTGAATTAAATCAGCATGGTGAGCACGTATTTCACACTTGCAAAACCTACAGAATGCCTTTGACACATCTCCCATCTGAGGTCGAATCCATTCTTTAAGTGTGCTCTCTTTCTCCCACTCCTTATTATATTTTTTTTGGTCTCTTCACTTTGGGCTCTCTGGTGGCTGCGGGCGGCTACTGCATGGCTGCTTGCTGTGTTGTGAAAAGACGAGTGACGACACAAGTGTGCGCCTCCTCGCCAATTTGGGCGGGAGCGATAAACAGGAAACGGGGGCGAAGATGGGACAATCTACCTGCCACTCGTCTTTTGCTTTATTGTGCGGAGATGGGAGATAATCAACTAGTTTCACTCGGAAATAAAGTCAAGCCCAAATAAGCGGCTTCATGTACAAAAATAAGCCCAAAAAACCGCGACTCACAAGATTTGCAAGCAACTTTAGAAAAAAACAAGCCCAAAGTCGCTTATAATAAGCGGACTTGGCGACACTGGCTGTATTCAGCTCAGTCTCTTAAATAGCACCTTCTCAGAGTGGATCAACCAGTTTGCTGCTGACAACCAGAACCAGCTGCTCACATGATCAAGAAGGACCATCAGCCTAACAATGGATCATTAGCACCTGATGGCTGTTTACTGTTCACAGAGGGCTGAGTGATACTAGCAATCACAGCATTGTAAGAGGGGGACAGTTGAACCTGGAGGCTCCGCCCCTGTTTAATGATGGACGGTTTCTTCTCTGCTTTCTGGAAGGCCCAGAGAAAGCAGAGAAGAAACCCAAACAGGACTCCAGTCAGCCATCAGGTGAAAAGGAGGAACCCAGACCCAGCCCAGTGGTCATTCCGTATGTTGAGGGAGTATCAGAGAAACTGAGACGTTTATTTTCTAAACATAACGTCCCAGTGGCTTTTAAACCCCAAAATACATTAAAGACTGGTTCATCCCAAAGATCCAGTCCCCCGGCACAAACAGAGTTATAATGTGTATGCTGTTCAGTGTCAGGAGGGTGATCAGTTTTATGTAGCCCAGGTGATGAAAACTGACTGACAGGAAAAATGAATTAATAAGAGTGTATGTTCCTTGAGTTTGTCCATAATAGTTAAATTTTAAATGTCCTACTGCACTTGAATGCATCGTTCAGTGTATGTGATCATACGATGCTCAGCAGCCAATCAGGAATCACGCTTAGAAGTGTAGGGTGAAGTTGGGGCACATTTTCTACTTTCTTTCTTTCTGATTGAAGACGCGACGGAGAAGGTAGCTACATGCTAAAGACAAAATTTTGTCTAATAAAGTTCAGGAGAGAGCCAGAGCTAATTAATTTACTTATTGTGAGTCTAGGAAAGAGTGACACAGCAAAGGGAGACGAGTTGGATCAGCTGTGTTTTGCTGTTTATGTTGGAAGCTGTAGAAGAGCCGAAGCTAACAAACTCTGTTTTGAAATCCAGAGCAACGGTGAGAAATGTGATTAGTTTAGCTGTTCTGGGATTCGGCTGCTGGAAATTACAGCTAATGAGCGAGTTATGTTGAAATATGTAGCTGCAAGCAGGCAGAACGTTTATTGTGATTTCTGTATTGTAACATATGCTAAGAAGAGTTGTAGCTGTGTTGTTGTTGCTAAATGTATTTTGTAAACTCAATTTATGGGGGAACTCTATTCTTTCCTCGTAAATTAAAGCAGGTCAGAGGGTGATTTTTGGTGCAGTGTTCTCTTGTACTAATAGGCCTGTAGTGCAACTCAAGCACACTTCCTTGATACTTCTAAACCAACTTTGTATGTGTATTCATGTTGTTTGTAATGTTTGATTAATCAGGTTATAATAATTTTCATAAGATTTATTTGAAACTGTAATTTTGTAGAACATTGTTCACACGAACAGTAAGTAATGCGAGTAGAATGTTTAGTTCTCATAATTGATTAGTTTAGAAATGTTGAATGTTGTACAACTAAAATGGAGATTTAACTAACTGAAGACTTATAAACAAGGTTAAATTCAATAGATATGTTGATTTTTGAATCCTTGATGAATCCAAGAACAGAAAAGTAATAGATATGTACGTGTATGACCTTATTGTAGGTCAGGTTTTTTTGAGTGGACAAGAAAATAATCCCGAAGACCAGGTGGGATTCCGACCCAATTCGATGGCGAGCTAAAAGGACCTTGAAGAAGAGATCCAGATCCAGAGGAGAAGAAAAGAACCAAGTACACACATATACATACACAGACCCTTTGAACAGATTCAATATAACCAGTACACCTGCAACACGGGTTGTCTTTCCCATAAGAGGCCCAGACGGACAATTTCGTTTTTTTTGTGTGTGTGTGCACATTTTTCCTTTGATTTTTGGGGTGTTTTCAGTTAATTTATTGTAAGCCATGGCAAATTAGATTTTTATTATGTAACAATATGAGTTGCTACTCAATTTCATCTCTGTGTTTGGCTTATCATTGCTGCTCTATTCATTGGCCCCATAAACCAGGTTCTTCTGATCTCAGGTCCACAGTTTTCTATCAATTTATCTCATTATTAAATGTAACCCGCACTCGTATCTCAAAAAATTGGTTACACTTACATCGGGGAAACTAAACAGCCACTGGCCACAAGGATGGACCAGCACAGAAGATCAACATCATCAGGCCAGGACTCTGAGGTCTACACTCATCTCCAGGCCAGAGGTCACTCTTTCAGGGATG